GGGAAAGAGCAAACTGATCTGTCCAGGAGGTGTGGGGGACTTCTATGTTTTAGCTGTGCTGATTTTATATTTAGCACGTGGAACAACCAAACCAGGTTCCCAACCCATTTCCCCAAACAACTGCACAAAGCAAAGGTCAGTGCAGGGACGGGAACAAGCAGCCCTGCTTAACCTGATACATCCAAGGAATAAAAGCTGCTCCAGTGATGCTGACTCACCTACACACACATTCCTTCATTTACAAAGGTTTTGGTATCTGCAACCTCAGGTGGCCTGGGCTTATGATCGACAGTAAAGGCGCCTACGTAACCAGCCAACAAGCTGGAAGCTGGCTTTCCAAGCAGACCTGGTTTTCCTCTTTTCCCATCAATGTAGCTGAAATCACAGCCTGCCTCTCCGCTCTCTGGCCAAAAAAGCAGCAGCTAACTACTGCCAGGTAAACTAGACCCCAACAGCTGGCACTTCCATGGCCAGCCTTAATGCTTTGCTGCTGCTGCTGTGCTGCTCACCCACGCGCTTCAGGGTCCCCAGTGTGACAATGCACGCATGCTTGTGTGCAGCAGCAACAGCACTTCTTTTTTCTGGAGAGAGTAATGCCAAGAGAAGGTGTCCCATTCCCAGCAGAGTTACCCCAGTTCTCCCTAAAGACCAGGCAAGCTTAAAGATACAACATTCATTCTGCGAAATCAAAAGGTTAAATGTTTATTTCAACATACAGTGCTATTGCTGAGAAACACCTACAAATCTGAGCACTCGTATGAGGGCAAAGTTTCCCAGGACTTCAAAAGGCGGACTGCGCTGCTGGCTGCCACTGCCCTGCCTCAGAGAGGAGCTCCCAGCTCAGCTCGTGTGTTCAGCCCCAGTGAGGCACTTCGGGCTTCTCAGTTTAGCCACAGAGGAATGAGGAACTTCTCTACCTTCTCTGCTCCACCGCATGGCATCAGTTCTAGCCATGTCTGCCTTTCCTTGCAAGAAGCCAGCTCAATCAGTTATAAGTGCAGAGTGCAATGTTTTGCAGATCACATAGATTTGCAGATCATAGGTTTTTTTCCCCACCATTCAGCAATTACAACTGTCTTTTCTATGACGGCTTTTTATACAGACTGAACATGACACATTAGTACAACAAATGTGAGACTGGAGCAATTTCCCCCCTACACACAAGCCATTAGACGTAGATGTACCGTGGCACGTCAAGAGATGCAATACAGACCTGAGGCAATAAGGACAATCTCACATCTGACTATTTTAAACTAACTGTAAGATATGGAAATTACAGATTTTTTTTCAAAAGGAAATAGCTGAAAGCAGTCTAATAGAAGCTACTATTTCCTATAAACCCCTTTCTTTCTAATAAGGATGCAGCAGTCGCTGGGAGACCATCATCTTAAAGACCTACAGTAGTCTCAGTGTCTAGCAAAATAGTGGCTTGTTAAAGGAAAAAATCATTTACTGTTCCAACGCCATGTACTAAAGAAGTATTCTGATACAGGAATTTTGTATCTTTTTTCTTCATATGCTCATGACACATCAGGACCAGTCTACGTTCTTTAATTTTGCAGCAATGTTCTTTACTGGCACAGCAAAGTTTATTCTAGCTCACAGAGTCCACAGCTACTGAAAACATCTGTGCCCACGTAGAAAAATGCTGTAAGACACAGCCAGTGAGACAGAGAAACGTACTAAGCTCTGCCTGTGGCATTTTCTGTTTCAAGCAGTAAAGAGGCACTTTGTAGTCTGATTTTTGTCTTGCATAGACTAAAACTAAGCCAAGTTTCACTGCACAGCTGAGTGGAAGAGCCTGTTCCAGGAACTTGCTGACAAACAGCAACCTGCTAACTTCCTAAAGCTCAAATGAATTGAACACTAACCTTGCATTTACCTGTTCTTCAAAAAAAAAAAACCAAACAAACCAGAAAACACCTTGGTACTGCTGCTTAGCACTTTCCTTTGGTCTCACAGCACCCCATGAAGTACTGTGGAATGGCTAGAAAATCCAGATGTCCTCCAACTGCTCAGCCAAACTAAATGTCAGTCTAGGTTTCCATAAAGTCCTAACACTGGGTCAAAATGCCACAAATGCACAACAGAAAGCCATTAATTGGTGCAATCTACTAATAAATATTTTTTTCCACAGTTTTCAAAGTGGTAATTTTCTACAGCGGATTTCATGCCAGATCAGATATCATTTTCTTTCTAAAGCCAAGATAAATGCTATGACATGTGCCCCAGCTGACTCAATATAACCATTATTATGTGCTCACACCTAATCTGTAGCTAATTCATATTGCCAGGTAATAAGGTAGACGCACATTCAGTATGAATGGACAAGGAGTGAAGGACTCTCATGCTGTTAAAATCACTGACTTGCTATATAATATAATAAGACAGGGAATTTATTCAGATTAAGAGGTTACAGATCAATCACACTTCTTTCAGCTGCATGGGAAACAGTCTCAAAGAGTGCAATTAATCATCTTACTGCTGGACGATCTGCAGTCTACAGCTATGCAGAGGAAGAAAAAGGGCTATGAAGGACTGTGATGAAAGGATTACTTCTAGCTATACACAGTTACTTCAGTTAAAACCAGATGGTACTCTCAAAACCACATGCTAAACTCTGTAGCTCCATGCTAACGCCGCAAACAATCACAGAAAAGATTAGTCTTATGCACTGCCACTTTCTTTTAACTTTAGCATAATATAAGTTTAATTTACGGAGAACAGTCAGTTTTCAAACTCTTAACACACCTTGAAAGAACGTACAGAAAACAAGAGCGACCTGCTTTTACAGAGCAGGAAGATTTTTCAAAGATCCCGCAGCAGGATTTTGAAAAATATATACCCACAGGAAGACTGACTTGTGGACAGAGAACCTGCCATACTGAAAGGCTACTGAACGTTTTCAAGACAAGGGGCCTTTGTTCTGGGATTTGTAGGTAAGAACACTCTTCTCTCCAAAAAACATACAATTTAATCACGAGAAGAAATCTGACATACTAAGTAGCATCACTTCAAGACCGCTCCAGACTGCTGTTTTCTTCTTGCTACTCACATCACACAAACACCTGGGCTCCAGTACACAGGGTACCCTGCAGGTAGTGCACGACACAAGGGCCCCTGCTCCACGCATCTTTCAGCTTATTCACAGCTTCCTAGCTGCCTTTAGAACAAAACAGACAAGCAGCCCCTGTCTGTAATAACGTACTTCCAATTTTCTATACGAAATTAAATTAGCTCTTTCTCTATATAGCAATCTGTATGCAGTATGTACATCAGAAACTGAGTAAGGCTGATGTCAGGTTCTATGTTTTCATTTTCCTTTGAACATACAAAAAATAAATTATATAAAGATTCCATCTTTCTAAATATAGATCAATGCAGCAGATTAAATAAGAAAACCAAACCATCACACAGGGAACAAGAAATGAACAATTCTAATGGCTAACACTAAATGGGCTTCACTTTACCACAGCTACATAACGAACAGTTCTTATATTTCCCTATCTTAGCCTTCACTGAAAACACAGAAAAAATTATTCCAGTTGCTTTCTGGGTTTGTACTAAAACAACTCACTTGATTTCTGCTACCTCCTCTTACTGCTCATGCTTCTAAAGTACTCATCACTACATTCTTTTATTGCCTGTTAAGTAGTCTCCCTGGAATACTTCCTGTGCTAGCATAATACATGCTAAAAGGAAATTAAATAAGCTGAGTTTTTTATTCCAGCAGAACTGACTGCTCTCTCCCTCAAAGGAAGGATAAATTCAGCCTTGTTATCCTAGCTAGTAAAGATAAAATGTACAGGTGCTACACACTGTCATGCCATGTTGAAGATCCTAGTAACAAGGATGGTTGTTTCCAAGTTCAGGTCTGAGAGAATTCAAAGGATAAAATCCTGCACATCCCTTGCTATGGTCTACCAACATTAGCAACTTTGTAATTTTTTTTATTTTTATTATACAAGACAACAGCCAAATTTTAAATTCAGACCACGTGC